CTTATTTTTTTTATTGGGTTATGGATTCTCTCTCAATTTTAATTGCCTTCTCTTATATCAACGGCTGTTCCCAAACTCCTCAGAAGACTCTGAAACTCAAGAGAAGAGGACACATTGCTCACCTGACAATTGCTGAAGATCTAACTGTATTAATCCATATCTCCATACAGCGACTTTGAAAATAATTGTGAAGCTGCAAACTAGCCAACAAGGCTCTTTTCCATTCTCTCATATAAATATAGTCCAATCATTCTGTCTGTGAAGGTAGATGATTTCTCTCCTTTGGAACTATTGGATAAAGCACAACAACAACAACAACAACAACAGAAACAACCCTCCCACAACAACAATGCAATAACCCACACTTATTTAGCAAACAATGCATTACATTTAAAGAAGGAAAGAAACAGACCTGTCTTGTTAAAAGGATGTTCTCTCAAATAATCCTCAACCTGTGCATGATAGACCAATGAAAATAATTCCCCACATCTCACATATCTCTATAAATTCACATCAGCCATTTATTTTTTATTGGGTTATGGATTCTCTCTCAATTTTAATTGCCTTCTCTTATATCAATGGCTGTTCCCAAACGCCTTAGGAGAAAATAAACTGACCTGTCTTGTTAAAAGGATGTCCTCTTATATAATCCTCAGCCTGTGGATGATAGACCAATCATCTCACATATTTCCATGACTCTTTGAAATCACATCAGCCATATATTTTTATTGGGTTATGGATTCTCTCTCAACCTATATTGCTTTCTCTTATATCAACGGCTGTTCCCAAACTTCTTAGGAGACTCTGAAACTCAAGAAAAGAGGACACATTGCTCACCTGACATTACTGAAGATCCACCAGTATGTAATCCATTTCTCTATACAGCATACAGTGATTTTTAAAAGAATTGTAAAGCAACAAACTGTCCGACAAGGCTCTTTTTCATTCTCTCTTATGTATATAGTCCAATCATTCTGTCTGTGAAGGTAGATGATCTTCTCTCTCCTTTGAAACTATTGGATAAAGCACAACAACAACAGAAACATCCCTCCCACAACAAAAATGCAATAACCCTCACTTATAAAGGAAACAATGCATTACATTTGAAGAAAAAAAGAAACAGACCTGTCTTGTTAAAAGGATGTTCTCTCAAATAATCCTCAACCTGTGCATGATAGACCAATGAAAATAATTCCCCACATCTCACATATCTCTATAAATTCACATCAGCCATTTATTTTTTATTGGGTTATGGATTCTCTCTCAATTTTAATTGCCTTCTCTTATATCAACGGCTCTTCCCAAACTCCTAAGAACACTCTGAAACTCAAGAGAAGAGGACACATTGCTCACCTGACAATTGCTGAAGATCTAACTGTATTAATCCATATCTCCATACAGCGACTTTGAAAATAATTGTGAAGCAGCAAACTAGCCAACAAGGCTCTTTTCCATTCTCTCTTATGTATATAGTCCAATCATTCTGTCTGTGAAGGTAGATGATGTTCTCTCTCCTTTGAAACTATTGGATAAAGCACAACAACAACAGAAACATCCCTCCCACAACAACAATGCAATAACACACACTTATGGAGAAAAACAATACATTACATTTAAAGAAGAAAAGATACAGACCTGTCTTGTTAAAAGGATGTCCTCTCAAATAATCCTCAGCCTGCGCATGATAGACCAATCAAAATCTCACATATTTCCATATCTCTATAAATTCACATCAGCCATTTATTTTTATTGGGTTATGGATTCTCTCTCAATTTTAATTGCCTTCTCTTATATCAACGGCTCTTCCCAAACTCCTCAGAAGACTCTGAAACTCAAGAGAAGAGGACACATTGCTCACCTGACAATTGCTGAAGATCTAACTGTATTAATCCATATCTCCATACAGCGACTTTGAAAATAATTGTGAAGCAGCAAACTAGCCAACAAGGCTCTTTTCCATTCTCTCTTATGTATATAGTCCAATCATTCTGTCTGTGAAGGTAGATGATGTTCTCTCTCCTTTGAAACTATTGGATAAAGCACAACAACAACAGAAACATCCCTCCCACAACAAAAATGCAATAACACACACTTATGGAGAAAAACAATACATTACATTTAAAGAAGAAAAGATACAGACCTGTCTTGTTAAAAGGATGTCCTCTCAAATAATCCTCAGCCTGCGCATGATAGACCAATCAAAATCTCACATATTTCCATATCTCTATAAATTCACATCAGCCATTTATTTTTATTGGGTTATGGATTCTCTCTCAATTTTAATTGCCTTCTCTTATATCAACGGCTCTTCCCAAACTCCTCAGAAGACTCTGAAACTCAAGAGAAGAGGACACATTGCTCACCTGACAATTGCTGAAGATCTAACTGTATTAATCCATATCTCCATACAGCGACTTTGAAAATAATTGTGAAGCAGCAAACTAGCCAACAAGGCTCTTTTCCATTCTCTCTTATGTATATAGTCCAATCATTCTGTCTGTGAAGGTAGATGATCTTCTCTCTCCTTTGAAACTATTGGATAAAGCACAACAACAACAGAAACATCCCTCCCACAACAAAAATGCAATAACCCTCACTTATGAAGGAAACAATGCATTACATTTGAAGGAAACAATGCATTACATTTGAAGAAAAAAAGAAACAGACCTGTCTTGTTAAAAGGATGTTCTCTCAAATAATCCTCAGCCTGTGCATGATAGACCAATGAAAATAATTCCCCACATCTCACATATCTCTATAAATTCACATCAGCCATTTATTTTTTATTGGGTTATGGATTCTCTCTCAATTTTAATTGCCTTCTCTTATATCAACGGCTCTTCCCAAACGCCTTAGGAGACTCTGAAACTCAAGAAAAGAGGACACATTGCTCACCTGACATTACTGAAGATCCACCAGTATGTAATCCATTTCTCTATACAGCATACAGTGAGTTTAAAATAATTGTAAAGCAACAAACTGGCCGACAAGGTTCTTTTCCATTCTCTCTTATATATATAGTCCAATCATTCTGTCTGTGAAGGTAGATGATCTTCTCTCTCCTTTGAAACTATTGGATAAAGCACAACAACAACAGAAACATCCCTCCCACAACAAAAATGCAATAACCCACACTTATGAAGGAAACAATGCATTACATTTGAAGAAAAAAAGAAACAGACCTGTCTTGTTAAAAGGATGTCCTCTCTCATAATCCTCAGCCTGTGGATGATAGACCAATCATCTCACATATTTCCATAACTCTTTGCAATCACATCAGCCATATATTTTTATTGGGTTATGGATTCTCTCTCAACCTATATTGCTTTCTCTTATATCAACAGCTGTTCCCAAACTTCTTAGGAGACTCTGAAACTCAAGAAAAGAGGACACATTGCTCACCTGACATTACTGAAGATCCACCAGTATGTAATCCATTTCTCTATACAGCATACAGTGATTTTTAAAAGAATTGTAAAGCAACAAACTGTCCGACAAGGCTCTTTTTCATTCTCTCTTATGTATATAGTCCAATCATTCTGTCTGTGAAGGTAGATGATCTCCTCTCTCCATTGAAACTATTGGATAAAGCACAACAACAACAGAAACAACCCTCCCACAACAACAATGCAATAACCCACACTTATGGAGGAAACAATGCATTACATTTAAAGAAGAAAAGAAACAGACCTGTCTTGTTAAAAGGATGTCCTCTCAAATAATCATCAGCCTGCGCATGATAGACCAATCAAAATCTCACATATTTCCATATCTCTATAAATTCACATCAGCCATTTATTTTTTATTGGGTTATGGATTCTCTCTCAATTTTAATTGCCTTCTCTTATATCAACGGCTCTTCCCAAACTCCTCAGAAGACTCTGAAACTCAAGAGAAGAGGACACATTGCTCACCTGACAATTGCTGAAGATCTAACTGTATTAATCCATATCTCCATACAGCGACTTTGAAAATAATTGTGAAGCAGCAAACTAGCCAACAAGGCTCTTTTCCATTCTCTCTTATGTATATAGTCCAATCATTCTGTCTGTGAAGGTAGATGATGTTCTCTCTCCTTTGAAACTATTGGATAAAGCACAACAACAACAGAAACATCCCTCCCACAACAACAATGCAATAACACACACTTATGGAGAAAAACAATACATTACATTTAAAGAAGAAAAGATACAGACCTGTCTTGTTAAAAGGATGTCCTCTCAAATAATCCTCAGCCTGCGCATGATAGACCAATCAAAATAATTCTCCACACCTCACATATTTCCATATCTCTATAAATTCACATCAGCCATTTATTTTTATTGGGTTATGGATTCTCTCTCAATTTTAATTGCCTTTTCTTATATCAACGGCTCTTCCCAAACTCCTCAGAAGACTCTGAAACTCAAAAGAAGAGGACACATTGCTCACCTGACAATTGCTGAAGATCTAACTGTATTAATCCATATCTCCATACAGCGACTTTGAAAATAATTGTGAAGCAGCAAACTAGCCAACAAGGCTCTTTTCCATTCTCTCTTATGTATATAGTCCAATCATTCTGTCTGTGAAGGTAGATGATGTTCTCTCTCCTTTGAAACTATTGGATAAAGCACAACAACAACAGAAACATCCCTCCCACAACAAAAATGCAATAGCCCTCACTTATGAAGGAAACAATGCATTACATTTGAAGGAAACAATGCATTACATTTGAAGAAAAAAAGAAACAGACCTGTCTTGTTAAAAGGATGTTCTCTCAAATAATCCTCAGCCGGTGCATGATAGACCAATGAAAATAATTCCCCACATCTCACATATCTCTATAAATTCACATCAGCCATTTATTTTTTATTGGGTTATGGATTCTCTCTCAATTTTAATTGCCTTCTCTTATATCAACGGCTCTTCCCAAACTCCTCAGAGACTCTGAAACTCAAGAAAAGAGGACACATTGCTCACCTGACATTACTGAAGATCCACCAGTATGTAATCCATTTCTCCATACAGCATACAGTGACTTTTAAAATAATTGTGAAGCAGCAAACTAGCCAACAAGGCTCTTTTCCATTCTCTCTTATGTATATAGTCCAATCATTCTGTCAGTGAAGGTAGATGATCTCCTCTCTCCTTGAAACTATTGGATAAAGCACAACAATAGAAACAACCCTCCCACAACAAAAATGCAATAACCCACACTTATGGAGGAAACAATGCATTACATTTAAAGAAGAAAAGATACAGACCTGTCTTGTTAAAAGGATGTTCTCTCAAATAATCCTCAGCCTGCGCATGATAGACCAATTGAAATAATTCCCCACATATTTCAATATCTCTATAAATTCACATCAGCCACTTATTTTTTTTATTGGGTTATGGATTCTCTCTCAATTTTAATTGCCTTCTCTTATATCAACGGCTGTTCCCAAACTCCTCAGAAGACTCTGAAACTCAAGAGAAGAGGACACATTGCTCACCTGACAATTGCTGAAGATCTAACTGTAATGAATCGATATCTCCATACAGCGACTTTTAAAATAATTGTGAAACAAGGCTCTTTTCCATTCTCTCTTATGTATATAGTACAATCATTCTGTCTGTGAAGGTAGATTATCTCCTCTCTCCTTTAAAACTATTGGATCAAGCACAACAACAGAAACAACCCTCCCACAACAACAATGCAATAACCCACACTTATGGAGGAAACAATGCATTACATTTAATGAAAAAAAGAAGCATACCTGTCTTGTTAAAAGGATGTCCTCTCACATCCTCCTCAGCCTGTGGATGGTAGACCAAACAAAGGGATTCCCATCATCTCACATATTTCCTTTTCTCCTTGAAATCACATCATCCATATTTTTTTTATTGGGTTATGGATTTTCTCTCTCAATTTTATGTGTATTCTCCAAAATCAATGGCTGTTCCCAAACTCCTCAGAGACTCTGAATGTCAAGAAAAGAGGACACATTGCTCACCTGACATTACTGAAGATCCACCAGTATGTAATCCATTTCTCCATACAGCATACAGTAACTTTTAAAATAATCGTGAAGCAGCAAACTAGCCAACAAGGCTCTTTTCCATTCTCTCATATAAATATAGTCCAATCATTCTGTCTGTGAAGGTAGATGATCTCTCTCCTTTGGAACTATTGGATAAAGCACAACAACAACAACAACAACAACAACAGAAACAACCCTCTCACAACAACAATGCAATAACCCACACTTATGGAGGAAACAATGCATTAAATTTAAAGAAGAAAAGAAACAGACCCGTCTTGTTAAAAGGGTCTCTCGAATAATCCTCAGCCTGCGCATGATAGACCAATCGAAATATTCCCCACATCTCACATATTTCCATATCTCTATAAATTCACATAATCCTCAGCCTGTGGATGATAGAGCAATCATCTCACATATTTCGATATCTCTTTGAAATCACATCAGCGATATATTTTTATCGGGTTATGGATTCTCTCTCAATTTTAATTGCCTTCTCTTATATCAACGGCTCTTCCCAAACTTCTTAAGAGACTCTGAAACTCAAGAAAAGAGGACACATTGCGCACCTGACAATTGCTGAAGATCTAACTGTAATGAATTCATAGCTGCATACAGCGACTTTTAAAATAATTGTGAAACAAGGCTCTTTTCCATAATCTCTTATGTATATAGTCCAATCATTCTGTCTGTGAAGGTAGATGATCTTCTCTGTCCTTTGATACTATTGAATAAAGCACAGCAACAACAACAGAAACAACCCTCCCACAACAACAATGCAATAACCCACACTTATGGAGGAAACAATGCATTACATTTAAAGAAGAAAAGAAACAGACCCGTCTTGTTAAAAGGATGTCCTCTCACATAATCCTCTGCCTGTGGATGATAGAGCAATCATCTCACATATTTTCATAACTCTTTGAAATCACATCAGCCATATATTTGTATTGGGTTATGGATTCTCTCTTAACTTTTATTGCCTTCTCTTATATCAACGGCTGTTCCCAAACTCCTCAGGAGACTCTGAAACTCAAGAAAAGAGGACACATTGCTCACCTCACATTACTGAAGATCCACCAGTATGTAATCCATTTATCCATACAGCATACAGAGACTTTTAAAATAACTGTGAAGCAGCAAACTAGCTAACAAGGCTCTTTTCCATCCTCTCTTATGTATAAAGTCCAATTGTTCTGTCTGTGAAGGTAGATGATCTCCTCTCTCCTTGAAACTATTGGATAAAGCATAACAACAATAGAAACATCCCTCCCACAACAACAATGCAATAACCCACAATTATGGAGGAAACAATGCATTACATTTAAAGAAGAAAAGAAACTGACTTGTCTTGTTAAAAGGATGTCCTCTCAAATAATCCTCAGCCTGCACATGATAGACCAATCAAAATAATTCCCCACATCTCACATATTTCAATATCTCTATAAATTCACATCAGCCATTTATTTTTATCGGGTTATGGATTCTCTCTCAATTTTAATTGCCTTCTCTTATATCAACGGCTCTTCCCAAACTTCTTAAGAGACTCTGAAACTCAAGTAAAGAAGAAACATTGCTCACCTGACAATTGCTGAAGATCTAACTGTAATGAATACATAGCTCCATACAGCGACTTTTAAAATAATTGTGAAACAAGGCTCTTTTCCATTCTCCCTTATGTATATAGTCCAATCATTCTGTCTGTGAAGGTGGATGATTTTCTCTCTCCTTTGAAACTATTGATAAAGCACAACAACAACAGAAACATCCCTCCAACAAGAACAATGCAATAACCCACATGTATGGATAAAACAACGCATTACATTTAAAGAAGAAAATAAACTGACCTGTCTTGTTAAAAGGATGTCCTCTTATATAATCCTCAGCCTGTGGATGATAGACCAATCATCTCACATATTTCCATGACTCTTTGAAATCACATCAGCCATATATTTTTATTGGGTTATGGATTCTCTCTCAACCTATATTGCTTTCTCTTATATCAACGGCTGTTCCCAAACTTCTTAGGAGACTCTGAAACTCAAGAAAAGAGGACACATTGCTCACCTGACATTACTGAAGATCCACCAGTATGTAATCCATTTCTCTATACAGCATACAGTGATTTTTAAAAGAATTGTAAAGCAACAAACTGTCCGACAAGGCTCTTTTCCATTCTCTCTTATGTATATAGTCCAATCATTCTGTCTGTGAAGGTAGATGATCTTCTCTCTCCTTTGAAACTATTGGATAAAGCACAACAACAACAACAACAGAAACAACCCTCCCACAACAACAATGCAATAACCCACACTTATTTAGCAAACAATGCATTACATTTAAAGAAGGAAAGAAACAGACCTGTCTTGTTAAAAGGATGTTCTCTCAAATAATCCTCAGCCTGCGCATGATAGACCAATTGAAATAATTCCCCACATATTTCAATATCTCTATACTTATTTTTTTTATTGGGTTATGGATTCTCTCTCAATTTTAATTGCCTTCTCTTATATCAACGGCTGTTCCCAAACTCCTCAGAAGACTCTGAAACTCAAGAGAAGAGGACACATTGCTCACCTGACAATTGCTGAAGATCTAACTGTATTAATCCATATCTCCATACAGCGACTTTGAAAATAATTGTGAAGCTGCAAACTAGCCAACAAGGCTCTTTTCCATTCTCTCATATAAATATAGTCCAATCATTCTGTCTGTGAAGGTAGATGATTTCTCTCCTTTGGAACTATTGGATAAAGCACAACAACAACAACAACAACAACAGAAACAACCCTCCCACAACAACAATGCAATAACCCACACTTATTTAGCAAACAATGCATTACATTTAAAGAAGGAAAGAAACAGACCTGTCTTGTTAAAAGGATGTTCTCTCAAATAATCCTCAACCTGTGCATGATAGACCAATGAAAATAATTCCCCACATCTCACATATCTCTATAAATTCACATCAGCCATTTATTTTTTATTGGGTTATGGATTCTCTCTCAATTTTAATTGCCTTCTCTTATATCAATGGCTGTTCCCAAACGCCTTAGGAGAAAATAAACTGACCTGTCTTGTTAAAAGGATGTCCTCTTATATAATCCTCAGCCTGTGGATGATAGACCAATCATCTCACATATTTCCATGACTCTTTGAAATCACATCAGCCATATATTTTTATTGGGTTATGGATTCTCTCTCAACCTATATTGCTTTCTCTTATATCAACGGCTGTTCCCAAACTTCTTAGGAGACTCTGAAACTCAAGAAAAGAGGACACATTGCTCACCTGACATTACTGAAGATCCACCAGTATGTAATCCATTTCTCTATACAGCATACAGTGAGTTTAAAAGAATTGTAAAGCAACAAACTGGCCGACAAGGTTCTTTTCCATTCTCTCTTATATATATAGTCCAATCATTCTGTCTGTGAAGGTAGATGATCTCCTCTCTCCTTTGAAACTATTGGATAAAGCACAACAACAACAGAAACATCCCTCCCACAACAAAAATGCAATAACCCACACTTATGAAGGAAACAATGCATTACATTTGAAGAAAAAAAGAAACAGACCTGTCTTGTTAAAAGGATGTCCTCTCTCATAATCCTCAGCCTGTGGATGATAGACCAATCATCTCACATATTTCCATGACTCTTTGAAATCACCTCAGCCATATATTTGTATTAGGTTATGGATTCTCTCTCAACCTATATTGCTTTCTCTTATATCAACGGCTGTTCGCAAACTTCTTAGGAGACTCTGAAACTCTAGAAAAGAGGACACATTGCTCACCTGACATTACTGAAGATCCACCAGTATGTAATCCATTTCTCTATACAGCATACAGTGATTTTTAAAAGAATTGTAAAGCAACAAACTGTCCGACAAGGCTCTTTTTCATTCTCTCTTATGTATATAGTCCAATCATTCTGTCTGTGAAGGTAGATGATGTTCTCTCTCCTTTGAAACTATTGGATAAAGCACAACAACAACAACAACAGAAACAACCCTCCCACAACAACAATGCAATAACCCACACTTATTTAGCAAACAATGCATTACATTTAAAGAAGGAAAGAAACAGACCTGTCTTGTTAAAAGGATGTTCTCTCAAATAATCCTCAGCCTGCGCATGATAGACCAATTGAAATAATTCCCCACATATTTCAATATCTCTATACTTATTTTTTTTATTGGGTTATGGATTCTCTCTCAATTTTAATTGCCTTCTCTTATATCAACGGCTGTTCCCAAACTCCTCAGAAGACTCTGAAACTCAAGAGAAGAGGACACATTGCTCACCTGACAATTGCTGAAGATCTAACTGTATTAATCCATATCTCCATACAGCGACTTTGAAAATAATTGTGAAGCTGCAAACTAGCCAACAAGGCTCTTTTCCATTCTCTCATATAAATATAGTCCAATCATTCTGTCTGTGAAGGTAGATGATTTCTCTCCTTTGGAACTATTGGATAAAGCACAACAACAACAACAACAACAACAGAAACAACCCTCCCACAACAACAATGCAATAACCCACACTTATTTAGCAAACAATGCATTACATTTAAAGAAGGAAAGAAACAGACCTGTCTTGTTAAAAGGATGTTCTCTCAAATAATCCTCAACCTGTGCATGATAGACCAATGAAAATAATTCCCCACATCTCACATATCTCTATAAATTCACATCAGCCATTTATTTTTTATTGGGTTATGGATTCTCTCTCAATTTTAATTGCCTTCTCTTATATCAATGGCTGTTCCCAAACGCCTTAGGAGAAAATAAACTGACCTGTCTTGTTAAAAGGATGTCCTCTTATATAATCCTCAGCCTGTGGATGATAGACCAATCATCTCACATATTTCCATGACTCTTTGAAATCACATCAGCCATATATTTTTATTGGGTTATGGATTCTCTCTCAACCTATATTGCTTTCTCTTATATCAACGGCTGTTCCCAAACTTCTTAGGAGACTCTGAAACTCAAGAAAAGAGGACACATTGCTCACCTGACATTACTGAAGATCCACCAGTATGTAATCCATTTCTCTATACAGCATACAGTGATTTTTAAAAGAATTGTAAAGCAACAAACTGGCCGACAAGGTTCTTTTCCATTCTCTCTTATATATATAGTCCAATCATTCTGTCTGTGAAGGTAGATGATCTTCTCTCTCCTTTGAAACTATTGGATAAAGCACAACAACAACAGAAACATCCCTCCCACAACAAAAATGCAATAACCCACACTTATGAAGGAAACAATGCATTACATTTGAAGAAAAAAAGAAACAGACCTGTCTTGTTAAAAGGATGTCCTCTCTCATAATCCTCAGCCTGTGGATGATAGACCAATCATCTCACATATTTCCATAACTCTTTGAAATCACATCAGCCATATATTTTTATTGGGTTATGGATTCTCTCTCAACCTATATTGCTTTCTCTTATATCAACAGCTGTTCCCAAACTTCTTAGGAGACTCTGAAACTCAAGAAAAGAGGACACATTGCTCACCTGACATTACTGAAGATCCACCAGTATGTAATCCATTTCTCTATACAGCATACAGTGATTTTTAAAAGAATTGTAAAGCAACAAACTGTCCGACAAGGCTCTTTTCCATTCTCTCTTATGTATATAGTCCAATCATTCTGTCTGTGAAGGTAGATGATCTTCTCTCTCCTTTGAAACTATTGGATAAAGCACAACAACAACAACAACAGAAACAACCCTCCCACAACAACAATGCAATAACCCACACTTATTTAGCAAACAATGCATTACATTTAAAGAAGGAAAGAAACAGACCTGTCTTGTTAAAAGGATGTTCTCTCAAATAATCCTCAGCCTGCGCATGATAGACCAATTGAAATAATTCCCCACATATTTCAATATCTCTATACTTATTTTTTTTATTGGGTTATGGATTCTCTCTCAATTTTAATTGCCTTCTCTTATATCAACGGCTGTTCCCAAACTCCTCAGAAGACTCTGAAACTCAAGAGAAGAGGACACATTGCTCACCTGACAATTGCTGAAGATCTAACTGTATTAATCCATATCTCCATACAGCGACTTTGAAAATAATTGTGAAGCTGCAAACTAGCCAACAAGGCTCTTTTCCATTCTCTCATATAAATATAGTCCAATCATTCTGTCTGTGAAGGTAGATGATTTCTCTCCTTTGGAACTATTGGATAAAGCACAACAACAACAACAACAACAACAGAAACAACCCTCCCACAACAACAATGCAATAACCCACACTTATTTAGCAAACAATGCATTACATTTAAAGAAGGAAAGAAACAGACCTGTCTTGTTAAAAGGATGTTCTCTCAAATAATCCTCAACCTGTGCATGATAGACCAATGAAAATAATTCCCCACATCTCACATATCTCTATAAATTCACATCAGCCATTTATTTTTTATTGGGTTATGGATTCTCTCTCAATTTTAATTGCCTTCTCTTATATCAATGGCTGTTCCCAAACGCCTTAGGAGAAAATAAACTGACCTGTCTTGTTAAAAGGATGTCCTCTTATATAATCCTCAGCCTGTGGATGATAGACCAATCATCTCACATATTTCCATGACTCTTTGAAATCACATCAGCCATATATTTTTATTGGGTTATGGATTCTCTCTCAACCTATATTGCTTTCTCTTATATCAACGGCTGTTCCCAAACTTCTTAGGAGACTCTGAAACTCAAGAAAAGAGGACACATTGCTCACCTGACATTACTGAAGATCCACCAGTATGTAATCCATTTCTCTATACAGCATACAGTGATTTTTAAAAGAATTGTAAAGCAACAAACTGTCCGACAAGGCTCTTTTTCATTCTCTCTTATGTATATAGTCCAATCATTCTGTCTGTGAAGGTAGATGATGTTCTCTCTCCTTTGAAACTATTGGATAAAGCACAACAACAACAGAAACATCCCTCCCACAACAACAATGCAATAACACACACTTATGGAGAAAAACAATACATTACATTTAAAGA